AACCATGAACATGAATGAGATTAACTCACTAGTAAAACAGAAGTGCATAGCAGATTAGAAAGAAGAATCCAACAATAAATTGTTTACAAGCAACACATTTAAAACATTAAGATTCAAATAGTGTTAAAACAAGGGGCTGGAGCAAAAGCTATTATGATTCATATAAATTCAGAAAGTCAGGGGTAGCAATCATGATTTCAGACATGGCAGCAGCAAAAATAGACACAATAAAAAGAGATAATCAGGGAAATTGCATTATATTCAAAGGCACCATAGATAAAAATGATTACCAGTCCTTAGTATGTATGCACCAAATGGCATGGCACTTGCATACTTAGAAGAAAAGGTCCTTGAATTATAAAGAGAAGTAGACAGTAAAACTATAACAGAGGAGGACCTCCATATACCTCTTTCACACCTAGATAAATCTAACCAAAGATAAACAATAAAGAAATTAAGAACCTGAATAGAACTTTAGGAAAAGTAGACATGATAGATCTCTGGTAATTATTTAATGGAAACTGAAAAAAAGTTTATGTATTTTCCAGTTGGCCATAGCATCTTTACAAAAATTGACCTGGTTTGGGGGGTATGAAAGCCTCTTGAACTAATACATAAAAGTAGAAAAATTAAACACGTCCATTGTTGGCAACAATGAAATTAAAATTTTAGTCAATAAAGGGCCTTTGGAAAAAGTATTAAAATTAATTACACATTAATTTAATCCTAAAGAATTGATGGCTCAGAGAACAAATCACAGAAACAATAGAAAATTTCCTCAAAGGCAATGACAACAATAGGACAACATACCAAAACTTAGGGAATACAGGTAAAGTGGTACTTTTAAATTTTGTATTTTTAAACACCTTCAGCAAAAAAAGAGAAATAGATCAATGAATTGGACATGACCACGTAAAAATTAGAAAAGCAATACATCCAAAAATGCCAAAATATTTTTAAAAATCAAAGGAAAAATTAATAAAATGAAAAACAACCCAACCAACTCAATTAGTAAATAAAACTAGGAGCTGTACTTTTTTGGGGGGGAGGTAGGGAAGCACTTCTCTGGCATAGCCTTCTAGAATTCATGGTCACTTCCACGCCACAGTAAGGTATCAGAATAAGACATATATACATATGGTTCATATATATTTTAAAGGGTCTTCACACAGTCCTTGGATAGTTTTGAAACTTGAATTTAGGTTGTAAACAGGACCAAAATTTATACATAGATAAATATATTTGTATATTACATGTACATATCCATATGTGTGTATGCATGTATAGACTAGGCAGTGCAGTTTCTTTTGAGTGAATAAAGATTTCAGTTCTGCTAGCTGTAGAACAGTATTTCAAAAAAGAATACATATTGTACAACTATGCAATGAAAATATTGCTAAATTTGTTTTTAAATGCCACTTAAAAATGGTCTCTGTCATACCTACACCCTGTTATTTTTTAAAATTGCACGAAGACTTTATAAGAACCCTGCACCTATTATTTTAGAGGTATAGATGCATTATCTATTTATCTGTCTATCTATCTATAGGCTCTATATCAATGATTTCATTGGTATAAGGAACTCTCAGGTCAATGCAGTTTGGCACTTATGTCACATATAGTCTTAGAGAGTTGTCTATGGCTCTGAGAGTTTTAAGTGACTTGTTCACACAGTTATTATATATTAGAGGAAGAACCTGATCCCAGATCTTTCTGACTTTAAAGACAGCTAGCTTTCCATCAATTATGCCATGCTACCTCTATAGACACATATAAATATGACATATCTAAACGTGAATTTCTTTCTTTTTTTCTTTTTTCCTTTTGCTTTTTGGTGAGGCAATTATGGTTAAGTGACTTGCCCAGGGTCACACAGCTAGTTAAGTGTCATGTGTCTGGGGCCAGATTGGAACTCAGGTTCTCCTGACTCCAGGTCTGGTACACTATCCACTGCACCACCTAGCTTCCCCCATGGATTTATTTCTAAATGTTGCTAAAAATTGGAAAAAAAAGATACAGCTTAAAAACAAGGAGGAATCTGTTCACGTGAAAGGTGGACATTGAAAGTGACTATGCCAAGAGTCAAGAGGCTTATGCCATACCTCAACGAATTGAATTTAGAGAAGAATTTCCTAACTCTATGGATTGTAGAATTCTTTGTTCCATTACCAAGGGATCCTGTGAGGCCATCCTTCTTTGGAAATATTAAAGGACAGGATAAATAATGATCTTCCTAAGGTGATCTGAGTGCATTTCTCCTTGAATACAAAGAATTTGACTCTTTAAATCTCTCCCAGTTTTAAAATTCAATAATTCTTGAGGCCATGTTTACTGTTGGTCAATAAGGTAGAGAAGTCATTTGGAAGGGAAAATTCACATATTGCTTTTGCTGTCTTCAGATCAAATATCATATTAGAACTGTGGCTTTTCTTTTTTCTACATAGGCTAATATAACTTATTACATGGGACAGGAGCAGAAACCACCTTAGGGCTTTTAAAACATTAAATATATGTGGGAGACTGACAATTTCAGGAGAAAAGAAGGGGCTTTAGAAGTATGTTTGTGGGAGACTTTAAAATGTATCAGTGTTTGATTAGAGATGTTATATATTTCAAAATTGCAGCTTGACTGAATATTTATTACAAAGGTTTTTTCTTGTTGGGGGTGGTGGGAGGGGAAGAAATTACATACTTGTTCATTTTAAAGATAAAAAACAAAGTACATCAGAGGGAAAAGCACTTCGATATTGCTTTGTCTGCCTTCTTTTTCCCTTGTTCTTGTCACCAAAATTCATACAAATGGCCACTCCTTTCCAGCCCCTGGTTTCTATCAGTCAAGCAAACATGCTGAACTTGTGAACCTCCCATCCTTCCATCCCTTCCATGACAATGCACTGAGCAGAGGGTTGTATATAACTTCCCTGAGAGGCCAGACAGTAGCAGAAATGGAATATCCAAGGTGAAGATGACAGCATGTCGTCAGGTATTCTGATGCTTTCCAGGAGGCTGAAACCTGTTAGAGGGAACAAAAAAGGAGGAGAAGAAGGGGCAGGAATAAAATCTGACTGCAAAATGTATTTCCTTCAGTCATGTTCCCACAAGTAAAGCCCATTTTCTTTTTCTAAAATAAGTTTTATTGATATTGTTTGTTTTTTACATCACCTCAATTTCCCATGGTATCCCTACCCTTTCCCCTCTTTGAAAGTCATTCCATATAGCAAAGAATTAAAAAGAAAAAATAAAAATAGGAAGAAGAGAAAAAAATTAGCAGAAGTGGTCAATACATAGGAAAAAAAATCTGTGATTGCATTCAGTGTTGCACATCTTCGGATTCCCCACCTTTGCAAAGGAGTGGGAAAAAATGTCTTCTCATAGCTCTTCTTTGGGACCAAATTCGCTATTTGTTATTTTGCAACATTTTTGTTTGTTTATTTTGTGACTGTTGTTCTTTCCATTTATGTTGTTGTAATCATTGTCTATATTTGGGAGGGGCATGCTTACTTAACTTTGCAGTAGTTCATGTAAGTCTTTCCATCTTTCTCCATATTTATGTATTTATCATTTGTTATAGCACAGTGATATTCTATTACATTCGTGTTCCACAATTTGTTTAGCCATTCCCTAATGGAAAGGTGTCTACTTTGTTTCTGGTGCTTTGCTAGTGCACCTGCACACACACACACACAGAGCTATAAATATTGTGGCATAAATGGAGCCTTCCTTTTTGCCAATGACATCCTTGGTTATGGACATTTTTAATCACTTTATTTGTATATCCCAAGTTGTTTTCCAAAATGTTTGTATTAATTCATAGCTCCACCAACAATGCATTAGTGTCTGTCTTTCCACAATGCCTGCAACATTGTCTTTTAGCATACTTTGTCATCCTTACCAATTTCCTAGGTGTGAGGTGAAACCTCATTTCTATTATTAGTGATTCAGAACATTCTTTCATCATTCTTTCATATAGTTGTCAATAGTTTACAGTACTTTTGAGAACTGTATGTTCATATCCTTTGAACATTTATCTGTAGGGGTGGGGGAGGGGGGAGGGGGAATAAGCATTTATATAGCATTTACTATGTGCCAGGCACTGTGCTAAGTACTTTTTACACATATCATCTCCTTTGATCTTCACAGAAACCCTGGGAAGCAGATGCTATTATCCCTATTTTACAGTTGAGAATACTGAGGCAAATTGACTGTGAAATGTTCTCACAACCAAATTCATAGCCACTAGCAGCTTAAATCTATTCTACAAAAGGGCAATAATAGAGCTACAGTTGTCTTCTGTGGATGACACCAGTATAACTTTCTTCTTCCTTCCATTTGCCCTTCTCCTGCCCCCTACCAGCACCAATCACGGTGCACAATACCTGTCTTCAGTCCAAGTCACCTGGAAGCATTACTGAGTTGTCACCTTAGCTTGCAAAATCAAGTGCTTGGGAATAGAGGGAAAACTTCACTGTATTGGCAGAGGGAAGGGAAGAGAAGAACACTTTGAACCTCGCTGAGTCCCCACGGAATTTGTCTTCGAAAACTCCCAGGAAGAGGGGCCCAACCTTGCTAAGGTAAGGGATCTTCAGAAGATCACCTGAATTCCCCTCCCCTTTCCCTCATCCCTTATGGCCCACAGGGAGTTCTCTTGGAGGGAGAAGAAGCTGGACATCTAAGGACAGGGAGTAAGAGTAGAGAGAAGATGGAAATGGGCAAAATGAGCGTGGTGAACTGATCTGGAGATTGGATTGTGGTATGAAGAGATTGAGCATTCTAGGACGGCTCAATACCATGGACAGTTCCAACCCCGCTGAGCTCTTCCTGTCACTTTGTTCTCTGTGTGTGTGTGTGTGTGTGTGTGTGTGTGTGTGTGTGTGATCGTGCCTGGAGCTCTTAGTTGATCCTTTGATTTCCATTAGTGCCCCGAAGGTGTCTCTCTCTTTCCTCGGATTCGGTCCTAGCTGTTGGCTGCAGGTCTCCCTCGTCCCCCAGAGGACACGGGCTGGACTTGGCTCTCCTTTCCCCGCCCCCAGGCCGCGACGCTACTTCTCCTTCACTTGGCAGCCGGGCCGAGCCTGGGTAGGTGGGTGTGTGCCAGGGAAGAGAAAGAAGCCCCTCCGTTTCCTGGCTGCCTGTGCCCTGCCCCCAACTCCTACCCCCTTGCCTTTGAGCTCTGCGGCTCTGCTTCTGGCCCCCGACTGACTGTCCGTGCGTCTGTCCGCCGGAGGAGATGCGGCAACACAGACGGCTGAGCGCTCAAGTTTTACGGAATAGCCAGGTATGTGTGTGAGGGTACTCTCGATGTTCATAGAGATAGTAGGGCCGGGGAATAACCACGTCTGTCAGTCCTTAGTTTCTCCCTCCCTCCTCTCGGTCTGTTCCTCTTTCTGTTTGCCATTCTGTCTATCCTTTCTCTCCCTCCTTCTATCATCTCTGTCCGTCTGTCTGTGCTCACTGAACGTTTACGTTCCCCAGCCCTGGGGAATCCAGCCGTAGTCAGATCTTCGTTTCCCTTGAAGTTTTGTGAATTAGCCCGACGTCGCGACCGAAGGCTGTTAGTGTAGCTGATTGGTGCATCTACCTTTCTGCGCGCTTGTGTCCCTCTCTGTCCCGATCCTGTCTCCGCGAGGCTCTGTCTTATTCAGGGCGTCTTCCTGGGCGTGTTGACCCAGACGGTGCCTGTTGGCCGGCCGGCCTGCCTGTCAGTCTGCGCCCTGGGCGCAGAGCACAGCGGAAGGTGGGGCGCGTAAACCAACTCCGTTACAAAGTGTTTTCATACAGATCACTCCCTTTTGCCTTGGGAATCGCTCCTCTACCCCGAGCTACAGGCTCCATCACCCTACTGTGCTTTGCATCTGCTCTGCACCCACCCACCCACCCCTGCCAGCCAATGCCCATTGTGAGCTCCCGGGTGTAAAACTGAATTCAGCCTGCTTGGGGCGGGAGGGGGGTGGGAGGGGGATATGGCCGCTGGGTTGCAAGACTTAGCGGGGCGGGAGCTGGAGGAAGGCACTGGCCATAGCCAGAAACCCCGCGTTCCCCCTCCCTCTTTCCCCTCCCTTTTAGTTATCCAATTCGTCCGCCGCCTCTCAAACGCTGCTGCCTGGACCGAGTTTGGCTGGACTGGGGAAGGGGAAAGAGGAGGGAAAGGGAGGAGGTAGGGACAGCTGCTCTCAGAAAACTAGACCTTCCAGGGTAAGTAACTCATTCTCCTCCCTCCCGTCCCTTTGTCCTCTTGTCCCTTGACACGTCGGTGGGGTGTAGAGGGGAAGGCGGAAAAGAAAGCTTTCCTATGCTAACTATGAAATGTTTCTGTTTGCTGAGGGGTAGAGGTCGGAGGAAGCGGGGAAGAAAGGAGGAGGACCCAGCCTAGGGAAATGATGTTGTTCGGTGATTTGTCCCTTTCCCCCCCTCCCCCTCCAGCACTTCTCTCCAATATTTCAACGCGTGGCTGTTGAGGTTCCCTGCCCCCCCCCATATGAAATCCTGGTGCCCTTGAATTTTGCATTTCGTGTCAAGTCTGACGTGTTGCGTGAGAGGTTGGGAGGAGAGGGAAGTGACAGCTAAATATTCCCACCTGTTCTCATTCTGAAGCCCGCAGTCAACCGCTGCCCATTCTCAGTCCTTTCGTCTCTTCTCTTCTGCCCAGCCCACAACCCTTGCCCAACCCCACTCCTTTCTGCCTAATGTCTAGTCACCCTCTATACTTGAGAGGCTTCTGCTGTGATGGTGGTTTAAATTGTCTCTGCTGTTTCTGATGAGAATTGTCTAAGTGCTGAGTTTTACCTAGGCAAATTTCGGGGCCTTGCTTTACCCAGGCACTGCTGTCAATATCGTTCACACTTCAAAAGAGTGGAGAGAGGAGAAAGGGAAGTAAGTGATGGGCAGAAGGAATCAGGAGCTGAGATTGCTTCAGGATTATGTTTGCTTTGATTGAGGGCAGGTTGGATTTAGAGTTGTGTGGGGAAAAGGAAGGATGTGTTTTGTATTGATGAAGTACTTGGAAGTGACACATATTTCTACTCTTGTTTGTAGTCTTAGGGCTTTCCTGGAGCATGATTGTGTCCCTGGGGGGAGGGGAAGGAAGTATAGGTCAGACTTTGCAGAAACTTGAGGATGCTTGTGAATAGGTGGGGAAGTGGGAAAGGAATGGGATGAGCAGAATAGTACTCTTTAACAACAGTTTTGAATTCCCTAGAACTCTGCTTGAAGAGCCCAGCTTTTATATTATATAGAGCCTTTTCCAGGTTTGGGAGATTTGCCTAATGATGATAAAGGCAGAATTCTCTTAGGCACCCAGAGAAAAGTGCAGTCTTGCTTCAGCTATGACATCAAACAAGTCAGTGCTGTCTCATGCCTTTATGTCCCCATCTGCATTGGAAAAATGGCAATACCTGTTCCCTCTCCCCAGGACTGGAGGGGTGAGGGGATTATCTACATGCATTTAAAATGGTTGGAGATCTATGGCCAGGAGAGTCCAATGTAAGAAGGAAACTGTTAGATGACATCATCAATATTGCAGTAAGATCTAATAACCTGGGTCCATTTTAACCTTAGAATATCTCCCCAGCCCCCTCCAAGGAGACAACAAAATAATCTGTTGATGTGGATCAAATAAAATCCCTTGTGTGTTTTGCCCAGAACTCTCTGCTTAGCTTCTGGTTTGCCCATACATAATTAGAAATGAGAGTTGCTTTGTCCAGAAAGCACACATTAGTCTGGGCGTGAACATCTCCAGGCAACGGATTTACCACCATGATTAGTGCTGGGTTTAGATAAGTATCTTCTACTATATGCAGGTGGATGAGCTGTGGTTTCCATCACTAAGGGACAGAGGGCTAACATTTTGATTGACTCTGGCTCTGACTTTGGAAGGGAGAAACAATCTGTTGGACACTCATGAGCAGTTAGATACACCTAGCCCTCCACACTTTAATGTATGAGCCAGAGTGATATGAGGCCACTTAAAGAGATCAACAAAATGGGTCTTTTAGGACTAAACTGAAATTGTGTTTGGACACTCAAGGTAGAGACAGATCTGGGAAGCAAGGTATTTCAGTTGTATAAGGTGAATGTAAGGAGGTATATGTGGTCTTATGAAAATAAAAGGGAAAATGTTATTAAGTCAAAGACCTTTGTTTTTGTCAATATCGGAAGCATTCTGTTCACTATGCCAGGTTGCCCCTATACAAAGTATAATTTCCATTGTAAAGGGACATTGGGGGAAAGTCCACATGTGGAAGGTGATACCTCAGCTGTGCTTTGAAGGAAGTTGGGGATTCTATGAGACGAAAATTGAAGGGGTGTATTCCAGACATGGGACATCACTTAGGCAAAGGTTTGGAGGTGAGAAATTAGATCTGCTTCTGACTCTATCCCTTCTCCTTCTAAACTCTATGACTAAATTAATTGTTCAAAGATTACATAACCAGGAAACATTGGATTCAGGACTTAAACCCAGTTCTCCCAATTTCAGATCTGGTGTTCTCTCCAACACAACATATTACCTCTGAAAAAATCATTGGGTTCCTAAATATATCTTTGAGGATTCCTTTCCCATCAGCCCAGATTCTCAGTTAGTTGCTATGTCTCTCCCAGAATTCCCCTCTGCTGATTTCCCAACTTGAAAGCAGAATAGTCAGTCAACAGATATTTGAAAGGTGAGTAATAGGGTAGTAGGTACTATTTTCATTCCCTTGTGTATAGAAGGAGCCAAGGAGATGAAAGACTTGCTCCCAGGCAGAACAATCCTGGTCCCTCAAACACCTTCAGATCACCACATGTCAGCTCGGAAAAGACCTTTCTTCTCTGCCTTCTCAGATCAGTTCTGGCTCTCCACTACTTACACAACAGCCTATGGTTTCCACACAATCTCTCACTAAATTAACCTTACCCATAGCAGCTTGTGCAACTCACTTTATGGCTTTAAAGAGCTCCAAGGATTTTCTTCCTCTTTCCCTTTTTGCCAGGCCTTTGCTAAGTATAATCAAATAGAAAGACCAGATTCTCTTGAATCTGAATTTCATATTCTCTTGTGGCCTTATGTGTATACCTTATGGCAGGTGGGGTGTGTGTGTGTGTGTGTTGTTTTCTTTGGGCATGACAGTTATTGGGAGCAATGTGATGATGAACAGGCCTCTTGTGAAGCATTTTGTGGTTTCATACAGGCTGAAACCATTTTTGAGCCTTGGAGCTATTTGTTACTTTGTAAAAATCAACTCTAAAGGTGATTGTTTCACTGCAAACCTTCCTCTTCCCACATAGCTCATCTACAAAGACTCACCTTTGACACTCTCTCAGATTCAAAGGGAAGAGGTTTGAATTTTCCCCCCAGCCTATAAATTCTGGAACAGACAGGGCAGCTGCATCATCTGGCTGCTGTTTGGTCCTGATGATGGGCATGAAGTAGGACTGGACTCTAGGCAAATTCCAGAGCACTGTTGGCTAAAAGCTTCCACACCATTAGCAATGTTGCTACTGACATTGAATTCATGTGTTTTTAAGTCATTTCTCTTAAAGTACCATCTGACTCAGAAATGACCACTCACTTGTCTGCCTAATAACCCGGCACTATGGGAATTTGCCAGGTAATCTTTGCAAAGGGCATCCTGCCCTGATGATGACACCTTTGTAATGCCATTGTTATCATATTAAGAAGGAATAAATGCATTTTGTTTTACACTATTGACACAAGAAAAGCAGTGGCAACATTATAGTTATCCACACACACCTCAACAGATGCTCTTTGAAAATCATTATCAGTTTAGTGGCTTACTTGTAAGTAGATATTCATTGTACTATTAGCGATGACTTCTTAGTTCTTATAAGGTATCATACTTTGATAATAGCACTCAGTAGGCATTACTTCCTCACCATTTGTCAAATCACCAGGAGATTGCTACTACATACAATAATAATGTTACCATTCATATAGCACTTTATGATTTATAAAGCATTTTCTTCACAACAAACCCTGTGGGATACATGGTGCAAAGATTCTTATCTCCATTTTACAGATGGGGAAACTGAGGATTAGAGAGTCTGGGTAATTTGCTCAAGGTCATATAGCAAATTAATGTCAGTGCTAGGACTGAGACTCAAGTCTCCTGACTCCATATCCAGGGCTCTTCCCTACACCGTCCTGTCTGGTCATTATGAACAGCTCAAAAACAATTTTAGAAAAGGGATATTTTTAAAATATAAATATTTGCTATATGTATATAATGTTTTTATATATTCCTGATCAATAAGAACAATAAAAATGATTTGGAAAAGATTCATGTTAACTTGTAAATCTATATTACATGTATGTAATATTGGATAAACAAGCACACTCATGAATGTATACATATACATGTATATATAATGTGTGTATGTATACATATATACACACATATACATATCAAATACACACACATACTAAAAACTGCATTTTAAATGTGTTAAGCTAGCTATTTCACTGTGTCTTAGAGGCACTCAATCAACAAATACTTTCTGGATCCAATGGATGGTTAGTGCCTTAGAAGTTTGTTTGTTTGTTTTTTAAATAGGTAATTGGGATTAAGTGACTTGCTCAAGGTCACACAGCTAGTAAGCATCAAGTGTTTGGTCTGAGGTCACATTTGAACTCAGGTCCTCCTGACTTCAGCGCTGGTGCTCTATCCTCTGCACCACCTAGCTGTCCTGCCTTAGAAGTTTTAAAGTTATCATGTACACTTCTAGGCTAGTTCATGCAATAAGACAAATTCCCTCCCAAAGGTGTGAGTCAATTTATACTCAAAGTCAGCTTCTGTTAGAACCATACTCAAATGATTTCATCAGTTGGGCACTCTCATTTACCAAAGCATATTGCAATGCAATTATGACTTAGTAGACAAGTCCGAGGGAGTTTTTGAGGCTGACAAGAGATTAAGTGATTTGTCCATGGTTATACATCTAGTAATGATCTAAAGCAAGATTTCAATCGATGTCTTTCTAATTCTGAGTCTAGTACCTCTATCTACCACACCAGGCTGCCGATTACACTTGGAAAAAAATACTGTTCAGCCATCTAGCCAACCCGAGCTACTCACTTGTTCTCTCATTTACACATTCACACATGGGGAAACATTTTTGTTTTGTTGTTGTAATTTTGCAACATTCACTTTCAATTGTTTTGTGATTGTTTCTATTTACATTGTTGTTGCTGTTATATTTATTGTTTTCCGGCTTTGCGTACTTTGGCTTCAGTTCGTCTAAGTCCTTTCATGCTTTTCTGTATTCATCATATTTGTCATTTCTTACAGCCTAGTGATATTCCATTGCATTCATGTGCCGTAATTTGCTTAGCCATTTCCTGACATATGTGCATCTCTTTTGTTTCTAGTCCTCTGCTACACCTGGACCCCTGCAAAGTTTTGCAATAAATATTTTGGTGTATATATGAATATTCTTTTTTTTAATCAAAGACTTCCTCAAGAGTATATACCTAGTAGTGAAATCTCTGAGTCAAAGGATATGACATCTTAGCCACTTTCTTTGCATAATTCCTATTGTTTTCCAAAGTAGTTATACAAATTTGCAGGTGAATCACCAATGTAGTAAGTATGCCTCTCTTCTCACAACACCTCTAACATTGGTTATTCCCATCCTTTGCTCTCTTTGCCACTTTGCTGGGTGTGAGATGAAACTTCAGTGTTATTTTGATTTAAATTTTTCTTATTATTGGCAATTTTAAACATTCTGTTATATTGTTATACGGCTGTTAATAGTTTGCAATTCTTTCCTTTTTTTGAGAAATGTTCATATCCTTTCACCATTTATTGGGGAATGACTTCTGGTCAGACCCACATTTTCAAACCAGATGGGCAGGCATAAAGATATGTTTTATTTATCCTTTCCACCTCTAGTTTTTGTTATGATTACTGATGGGGATAGCGATGGGGGCAGGAGAAGAGGGCTAAGCAGGTCTACCATTTTTGCTCTCTCCAAGTGTACTGCATTTCCTCTTCTCTATTGTAAACCATTGGACTTACTGAGACTTTCTTTTTGAAAGGGGCTCAAGGCAATCTTTTCCCCATTCAACAAATATTTGAAAAGTACTTTTTAAGTGCAGAAAATTGTGCTAGGTTCTGGGAGAGAAACATAATTCAGTTTTTATCCTTATGGAGTCCATGGTCTAGAACCGAAATAAGACATCAATATAAAAGGCAACTGTCATAATAATAATAATGATAGCAGCTATATAGCTTTAAGGTTTACAAAGTGCTCATTTTATCCTTACAAACAATCCTGGGAGGTAGGTATTGTCATTTCCTTCATTTTATAGTTGAGAAAATTAAGTCACAGGGAGGTTAAGTGACTTTCCCGAGGTCACCTAGCTACTACTCTGTATTTCATGAGAGATGGATTAGAGAGGTAGGGAAATAGGGTACTGTGTGAGGTACTAGGTAAAAATCATCACTGAGGAGGAGCCAGGGAAGAAATCTTTGAGGAGGCATTATTTAATTTGAGTTTTAAAGGATAGGTAGTAATTCAGCTGACAAACCTGGAGACAACACATTCTAGCCCTAGGGAATAGCCTGATCAAGGACTTGGCAGCAAGAGAACAAAAAAAAGTGTGTTTGAGGAACAAAAACAGCAGCATTGTTTGGGGCCTAGAGAGGCTTGAAAGAGTATAATAGGACATAAAGCTGAAAGGGTGAAGTTGTGTGCCTTTGACTGCCTCAATTATAAGTGGAAGTGTCTGCACATAATCGAGAGTCACAAAAGGTTTCTTTGAGCAGGACAGCAGGGTGGCCAGATCTAGGCAAAAAGAATGGCAGAGTCTCAGAAACAAATAAGTATTTATTAAGCGCCTACTATGTTCCAGGCACAGTGCTAAGCACCTTATAACTACTATCTCACTTAATCCTCACAACAACCCTGGGAGGTAGGTGCTATTATTATCCCCATTTTACAGGTGAGGAAACTGAGGCAGAGAGAGGTGAAATGACTTACCTAGGGTCACACAGCTAGTAAGTGTCTGAGATCAGATTTGAACTTATCTTTTGACCCCAGGCCTAGCCCTCTTATCTACTGTGCCATCAGCTGCCTCATAGGTGTTAGGGATCTCAGAGACCATTTGGTTCCACCCATAGCTGACCAAGAATTACTTCTACAAAAGCCTCCACCAGTGGTCATTCAAGCTTCATTGGAAAAACCCTCTTGAGGGGGACTTAAGACCTTCTGCAACACCTCATTGCTCTCTTGGGCCACTTGGTTAAGGAGTTTTTCTTTACATTAAAACAAAATCTGCCTCTTTGTAAATTCCTCCTATGGCTTCTAGATCTGCTCTGGTGGTCAAGTGGAACAAGTCTCTTCCACACAATAACTCTTGAAGTCAAATCAGGTCAAGTAGCACTTATTAAATACCTACTATGTGCCAGGCACTGTGCTAAGTGATAGAGACATAGAGAAAGGCAAAAAAAAAGTCCCTACTCCCAAAGGGATCCCAGTCTAATGGGAGAGGAAACATGCAAACAACTAGGTGTACACACACACTCACACACACACACACACACACATACATATATATCTACATAACAAATATATGTAACATATCTATATTCATTACAGGATAAATTAGGGATAATCTCAGAGGGAAGGCACTAGTATTAAGAAGGATTGGGAAAAGTCTTCTTGTAGAAAGTGGGATTTTAGGTAGGACTTGACAGAAGCCAGACACGCCAGGAGACAGAGATGAGGAGGGAGAGAATGCCAGGCATATGGGAAAGCCAATAAAAATACATGCAGTGGGGACATGGAGTATCATGTTCAAGGCCAATGAGGGGAGTGAGGTGTAAGAATATTGGAAAAGGTAGGAAGAGGGCAGGTTATGAAGGGCTTTGAATGCCCAATAGAGAAGCTTCTATTTGATCCTGGAGGTGATAGGGAGCCACTGATGTTTATTGAATAGAAGGATGACAAGGTCAGGTTTATGTTTTAGGCACATCAGTTTGACACCTGAGTGGAGAGAAGTCTGAGGCAGAGAAACAAGCAGAAGGCTACTGCAATAGTCTATATGTGAGATGATGAGGGCCTGCAGTAGGGTGGTGGCCATGCCAGAAGAGAGAAGGGGACATATGCAAGAGACATTATGAAGGTAGAATGGCAAGACTTCAACAGGCGACAGATGAACTAGATGGGGTAAAAAGAGTGAGGAGTTGAGGATAACATCTAGCTCTTAAGTCCAGGTGACTGGGAGAATGATGGTGCCATAGAGAGTAATGGAAACTTAGGAAGAAGGTATGGTTTGAGGGCAAAGATGAGTTCCCTCTCTGTCCTGTTTCAGATCAGTGTGATTCAACAAATAGTTTATTAAGAGTCTATGTGCAAGACACCGTGATAAATCCTGCCTGTGTGAAGGCCAAACTGAAATAGTCTTTACCTTTGAGGACCTTACAGTCTATTGATGTAATAACACAGACACAGAAAAGTATCACTCACCGTCATTTGACAAAGAAGAGCATCAGAGAAGGCTTCATGGAAGAGGTGGCATCTGAATTGAGTCTTGAAAGAAGATAAGGATGTCCAAGAAATGGAGATGGAGAGGGAATTCATTCTGAACATAACCTGTGCAAAGGGAAGGAGACAGAACGGAATGTTCAGTTCCGGGTAGTAATCCAGGTTGGCTGGAATTCGTAGTGCATGAAAGGAAATTTCATGAAATAAGATTGAAATAGTGTAGCCAAATGACTGATGGGCCTTTCTATCTCCTGGTGACTGAACTATCCCACATGTCTTGTGTCCCCCTATTAAAACGTGAGCTCCTTGAGAACAGGGATTGCCTTGCGTTTCTATTTATATCCCTACTTCTGTGTATAGTAAGTGCTTAATAAATGCTTCTTCGTTCATTTGTTCAAAGATAGATTGGGGCCTATTGTGGAGAGCCTTGAGGAACAAGTTAAGGAGTTTGTATTTATTTCTGAATATTAAGATTGTACATTCCATAAGGTTGGGAGCTATGTTTTATGTAGATTTTGCATCTTCGCCCATCACCTTGCATGGTGTTCTACAGACGGTTGGTGCTTACTACCTGTCTGTTGAATTGAACTGAATTTCAAGAGCCAATCACTTTTTTCTTTAAGTGGCTCTTCTACTACATGCTGCAGAAGGGATTTGTATGTGGGGCTCTTGGCCAGGGAAGATTCTATTAGGGGATTTAATCAGCAAGCAGGGCACCAGTCCAGGGCAGAAAGAAAGAAGCAGTTCAATTAATTGCAGAGATCTCAGTCAGAGCCTCCTCTGACTTGTTTCATCTAGAAATGGGAAAGGGGCTTCAATTGAATCTAACTCTTCAAAATGGGCAAGACTTACATATATTGTGATCTATGATTTTCATGTGTCCGTAGTCACCGCTAGAGTACCTTGGAACATTTTCCCCTTTACACATGTTCAGTGTAGTCAAGCTGGTCTTCTTGTTCATCACATAACATTCCATCATTCTAGGGAGAATATGCTCCCCTCCTCACCTCAGTCTCTTGGAATCCTCCCTTCCCACCTAAACTTAACTCAACCACCACCTTCTTCTACATGTGGCCTTCTCTGATCCCCCCTCAGCTGATGGTACCTGTCCTTAAAATTTTACCTTGCATCATGTATATATGCATGTATGTATATATATATATATATGTATATATATGCTTACATGTATGTGAACATACACATATATATGTATATACATTCATCTGTCTCAATAGAATGTAAATACTCTGAGGGCAGGGACTGTTTCATTTTTGTCTTTGTACTTCCAGTGCTTAACACAATACCTGGTACACAGTAGATCCTTAATAAATGCTTAATTAATGATGATGGTGAGGGTGATGATGATGATGGTGATGATGGTGATGGTGATGGTGATGATGATGATACCCCACATGATTGTTTTCAGAAGGAAGAATAAGAGAATGAGCCTGGATGAGAGAAACTCTTGCAGCTACAGAAGGTCTCCTCTCTTTTCAGGTCCTCCATTCCTCCACCTATACAGGGGAATAATCATTGCCTCTGTTCAGATCTTGAAAATGTGTTGGGCTGACTGCCAAGCTTGCAGAAGGGGCAGGAAGAAGACATATGTGCCGCATGCCTCCCCAGCTTCTGTCAGGCCTTTTCCTGCCTCCTAACAGATAGAATACACCACAGGTTCCAGCTGCTACCAGAATGGCAGTTTCAATTTAGTCTCTATTCACTAAGCATCCCCTTATTCACTAGGCACTGAGGGGATAGCAGAAGAAAAAGACATAGTCCTTCCCCTCAAGGAGCTTATGATGTAGGTCAGGTGGCGAGACACAGGAACCAATTGGGAGAGTATAAATAACAGTATATTATCAGGTGGTATGGCAGAGAGAATGTACCATAGAAATTCAACAAGGGAGAGATAGGGGATGCTTCATGAAGGTAGTGAGAGGAGCTTGGTACTGAAGGATAGGTAATATATGTTTAGGGCACTCTGCCTAGAACCAGGAAGACCCGAGCTCAAACCTGGCTTCAGACACTAACTGTGTGAACCTGGGCAAGTCATTTAACTTCTGTTTGCCTCAGTTTTCTGAAATGTAAAGTGGGGATAATAATAGAACCTACCTCCCAGAGTCATTGTGAGAATCAAATGAAATAATAATTTTAAAGCACTTGGCACATAGTCATCGCTATAGAAGTGCTGTTGCGGTTAGACAGAAAGAAGGGGAGGCCTTCCAGGAAGCAGAATAAATATGGTCCAGGTGAAGAGCCTGCCTTACTAAAGCGAGGGATGTGGATAAAAGAATAATGACTCTCTCTCTCTCTCTCTCTATATATATATATACACACACACACACACACACACACACATACATACATATATCCATACATATATATGATACTTACACTTTGGAGTCATTCTCTTCTTTGATGCTCATTTCTTCATGAACAGATAAGTACAAGGATGATTATCTCCAATTTGTAGATATAGAAACTGACCTATAGAGAAATGCAGTCATTTACCCAAGATCTCTCAGCTAGTAAGTACAAAGTGGGACTAGAAAAAAGGGCTTGCCTCCAAATTAGGTCAATCCAATAAACACAATTATTAAAAACGTATTATGTGTAAGACATTGTGTTAAGGTCTAGGGAGACTAAGACAAAAATGGGAAGGAAAACGAAAGCCCAGTCCCTACCCACAAGGTGCTTATATCCTGGTGGGGGGATACAATATCCAAACAGATGAGCAAATAAGAAACAATCTGAGGTGAGAACACTAATAACTAGTACCAGTTACCAGTGATACCAGTGGGGTATCACTGAGATAATGAAAGAGAAAGTGCTTTGAAATTGTAAAAACCTCTTTGAATATAGTAGTGATAGTAGGAGTAGGAATAGGAATAGGAATAGTAGTAGTAGTAGTAGTAGTAGTAGTAGTAGTAGTAGTAGTAGTAGTAGTAGCAGCAGCAGCAGGAGCAGTAGCCCATGCTCCAGAACTCAAGCTCTGGGTTTACACAGACCAGGTTCAGTCTTGGGGGCATCTCACAAATCATTCTTTTTGCCTTGTGCTCCCACCTAGAATTTTCTCTTGGAACACTGGAATATGGTTTGTATCTGTGTACTAATGAAGGGTAATTCTGTCTCTTGCACTCCAAATTTGATCTCCTACTTGGTCCAAGAACTCTTGTCTGGGAGGCTTGGTCTGGGCATTCCTCCAATGGATAGTTCCCCCTCTAGGAATTCTTTCACTTCTCTGCCATAGCTTTTTCTGGGCTGCCATCATGGGTGCCAAGCCATTCTCCAAATTATTAAACCATAATGAGGTACTTTAGAAGGGTCTGTGAACACAAGTAGAGGTAGGCTTATTATTGTTGTTTAGGATGTCATTATTGATGTCATTATTTCAGGTCTTCCTACTACCTGTTATTTTAATTTGTGGGCAGGCTGTAATGTTAGAATGCTCTCTGAGCTCTAAGGGAATGACTGTGGCCCTGGATCTCTTTCAGGGCTACATTTGGAAAAGGTACCATCCTGGAGATCCCTCTTGAGTTTTACAGGGGAATTTGTAGGCCCTAAAACACCCTGGTGGTCACTATGGACATTGAAGAATAATCCATTAAAATTAAATCCTACCTTGATATCTGGTTATTAAAGTCTATGCCAACAGAGTAGAAGCTTTGACAGGATACATAAACATAGAATCACTGAGTTCAGAGTTGGTAAAACCTTCAGAGGCCATCTAGTTCAACCCAAATTTAAAGAGGCCCAAATACCTGGCTTTGTTTGAAGTACTTTCTGTGAAAGAGAACCGACTCCCTCCCCTTCCCCAGGCAGCTCATTCTAAGTGGTTAAGAAGTTCTTTCTAACATCAAGGCTAAATCTGATTCTGTGTAAACTTTAACCCATTGCTCTGAAATGCACCCTCTAGGGCCAAGTAGAATACATCTAATCCTCTTTCAGGTGACATTTTTTCAAATACTTGAAAACAGCCATCCCATTCTCCCTAAGTCTTCTTCTCTTGGGGCCAGACCTCCTCCTTTTCTTGAACTGCCCCTCACAGGGCACGATCTCCTTCACCATCTTGTTCGCCCTCCACTTTATGCTCTCAATCTATGTCCATCTAAAAATTAGTGCCCAGAACGGAAGGCAATGCTTTGATGTGGTCTGACCCAGATGCTGTGCCTCTCCATGCAGCTTAAGATCCAGCTGGGTTTCTAGGCTGCCATGTTGACACTGCCCACTCATAATGAGCTAACAGTGCTCTGAAAGCCCTAAATCTTTTTCTGATGAAATGTTATCTAGTCACTCCTCCCCCGTTTTGTTTTTCAAACCCAATTGTAAGCATTTACACTATCCTTATTGATTATACCCAATAAACACCAATGGTTCCCTAGTACCTTCGGACTCAAATACAAAAGCTTCTGTTTGGCTTTTAAAGCTCTTCATAATCAAGCTCTTTCATAACTTTCTGGTCTTCTTAAACATTACTCCTTCCACATTCACTGCCACCCAGTGACACTGGCTTCCTTGTCATTCTTCACACAAGACACTACATCTCCCAATTGTTCATTTTCACTGGCTTTCCCCGTGCCTAGAATTCTCTTCCTCATCTCTACCTCCTGGCTTCCTTCAAATATCAGCCAAAAACATCTCTCCTTCTTCAAGAAGACCTTTTCAATCCTCCTTCATTCTAGTGCCTTCTCTCTGAGGTTGTCTCCAATTTATCCCGTATTCATCTTATTTTACCTAGGTGTTTGCATGTTGTCTCCTTCATTAGATCGTGATGTCCTTGAGGGCAGAGGTTTTTTTTTTCTTTTTTTCTTTTTGTATCCCCAGCACTTAGCTCAGTGTTTGGCACATAGTAAACACTTAAAAAATAATTATTTGACTTGATATTAGATTTTTCTCAATATTCTAGCCTGTTGTCCTTACTGTTATCCAGTGCATTAGCTCTATCTGCAGGGTTGTGTCATCCACAAATCTGGGAAATATGCTATCTATACCTTCATTTAATTCATTGATTAAAAAATATTTAACCAACACAATGACACCCAAAAAGCATACAGTCAACATGTCCCTGGGGCACTCAGGTGGAGATAGCTTTTAAGTTGACATTTAATCATCCATGATGCCTTTTTGGGTCCAGCCCTTCAACCAGTTCCAAAGCCACCCAACTTTATAGTCATCTAATTGATAGATGGAATTAGTGTCAGGAAGAAAGACAGTCAAACATAGTCCAATGGGCCCTCTAGATTTTGAGAGCACGTTTCAAAATGTTCAATGAAAGAACTGGTAGGATCTAAAAAGTCAATATTCTGCAAAGGAAGTTTCCCCAAGGGGGACTGAAATCTTTCAAGAATGAAATACCAAAGACAAATTGAAATTATTCTAATAAGGAGAAAAGGAGGATCTGCTTACAATGATGTGGCTGCCCAGGGAATCAGCTTCACTGAGACTACTGCTAAATCTACACCCAAAAGAAAAAAAAGAAAGAGGAAAAGGACCCAAAAGTGCAGAAATATTTATAGCAGCTCTTTTTGTAGTGGCAAAGAACTGGAAGCTGAGGGGCTATCCATCAATTGGGGAATGGTATATCAATGTGATGGAATACTATTCTATTGTAGGAAATGATGAAGGGGACAGTTTCAGAGAAATCTGGGAAGACTTGTATGAACTGATGGCAAAAATAAAGTGAGAAGAACCAGGAGAACAATTTCTACAGTAATAGCAATATTGCAAAACTAATCATTTGACAAACTTAGTAATGCTGATCAACAAAATGACCCACCAAAATCTTAAAGGACTCTTTCTTTTGACAAGGCAATTGTGATTAAGTGACTTGCCCAGGGTCACACAGCTAGTAAGTATCAAGTGTCTGGTCTGAGACCAGATTTGAACTCAGGTCCTCTGATTCCAGGGCCAGTGCTCTCTACACTGGACCACATAGCTGCCCTCTCAAAAGACTCCTGATGAAACATACTATCCACCTCCAGAAAGAGAGCTGATGGACTCAGTACAGATTGAAGCACATTTTCTTCCCTTTCTTTTCTTCTCTTTCTTTCTTTTTTTGGACATGGCTAATGCAAGAATTTTTACGTGATTGTACATATTTGTAATGGGTTTTGTTTTTCTTCTCAGTGGGGAATGGGGAGAATTCAGAACTGAAAATAAAATAAAATTGAGTCATTGGGGAAAAAACAGGGAATTCAGCAACCAGCTCAGATTGTTAAAAGAATTCTATAGAAGTAGCAAAGACCTGCAAAAATAATGTCAGGAACATTAAAGTCAAGACAAAGCTAAAACTCCTGATGAATGCTAAGGATGAAAAAAGTATATGTGTTAACAGGGGAAGGA